ATGAAGGTCAATTACGGAAAGTGATTTAATGTGTTAAGTGTTAACCTCTCCTTTTAGCTTTGACTCCCATAGATTGCCGTGTCTTTTCATACATCCTCGATAATCCACTCAGCGACTCCCACGTCTGCATTCCAGATTGCTAAAGCTACAAAAATGAAAATTTTTTTAAAGGCAAAACCATAAGTTAAGCCCCTGAACTAACCCCAGAGTGGCTATTAAGCCCCTATACTTTAGGGTACCGAGTGGAGGTGGAGCTGCTTTAGGGTACGAACGACTCTCTCTCGCTTATACCTTGATCCTCATCAGATCTGTATGTCAAAATGTTAGATCAATGTTTGGGAAATTGTTTAACATGAAATTTAATTTGTTAATGGTTTCGCGTTTCAGCCATGGGAGACTTATCAATCGAACATGTCCATAGATCTGAAGAAGCACCATGTGCCTGTTACCTTGATGGACAAACTGGCTTTTTGGACTGTCAAAGTGCTCCAGTGGCCTACTGATATCTTCTTCCAGGTAATTTCTCTCCGGTGGAGAAAAGAGCTTCAGGTGCAGGTATCAGTTAAAAATGAACATTTATTTGATGGATCGTGCCTGGAACCCAACTGTCCTATTCCTTGGCATTTTTCCTTCATTTATGCGCTTTTTCAGTCATAGAAGAAGCGCATCTCAGTTAACTTTTGGTATTTAAAAGTTATATTATATTTTAATTAATGTAAAATCAAACTGTGTCAAATTTTATAATGAGAAAAGATCTTTTAATATTTATTTCTCTATTTATAAAATTTAAATTTAAAAATTTATTTAAGAATAATCGAGTTCTTTTTATTTAAAAATAATCGAATTTTTTTTATTTAAGAATAATCGAATTCTTTTTATTAACATCAACAAGTGGCTAGTATAAAATATAAAGGATTGAAGAAGAGAAGTAACCTTCATATTATGGCTTTCACTATTTTTATCTAATAAAATAAGATTTTGTTTAATATTATCGTAGTTTTGGTTTTGATTTGATTTTATAAATTATGTAACTCTATAAAAAAAAATTTTAATACATTTTTGCAATATATTATATTATTTAAAAAATAATAACAAAAATAGCTTTAATATTATTAGAAAAATAAGTTT